CCCCAAAACCCCAAAACCCCAAAACCCCAAAACCCCATTTTTGGAAAATTGTATTGAAATCTTTATTTCAACCTTTGGTTATTATATTATTCAGCTGTTGATAAGAACAAGCTGGATTGCAATGAATCTTCGAATTTGACACTCATTACTCTCATAAATTCTTTCATATTAATAACACCCTTCTCCTTGCTATCACACTCATCAATAATCTCAGTAAAAATGCCTGTATCTAGATGTTTGAACTCAGCACCTGTGAGGGCTTCCTTGAGCTCCTTGTCCTCGATATACCCATTATTATCTTTATCAAAGAACTTGAAGGCTTGAGTGACCTTGTTGTAATCCTTTGCTATAGATTCACCTAATACTGCAGCAAGGAATTCATTATAGTTGATCGCTCCATTATTTTCCATATCCAAGTTCTTCACAATTTCTTCTATCTTATCTGGATCAATCGAGGGGATCTTGCTCAAAGCTTTCTTCATCTCTTTCAGAGTAATGTATCCATCCTTGTTAGTATCAATTTGGTTAAAAAGCTCTATTTCTTCCTTCAGATCTTGATCCGAAGACTTAGCTGCCAAAAAGCAGAGAATGGTCTTACGTAGTTTCGTACAGTTCTGGAAGTTCTTCAGCCTCTCGCATAGCATCTCATTAGCAGCCTTTGTTTCTTGAATAGCTTCGTCAAACCATGGGTGATTCAAGGCTTCTTTAGGAGTGATTCTTTTGGTTTCTTCCTCAAGTCAGCAGGAAATTAGGTCTTTAGAAGACTGTGAAACATCGGTCCATCATTCATCATCAAAGTCATAATCAAGCTCTAGTATCCTTTCCTTGATCTCTTCATCATTGTCACCGCCAAAAGGAGTGTATCCAGATAGTAAAATGTATAAAATAACCCCAAGGGACCATGTGTCACAGGAATTCGAGTAGTTTCTCTTGAATATTTCTGGAGCCATGTAGGGGGTTGTCCCTGCGTAACTCTGCATTCTTAATATCTGGGCTCCTCTTTCGCAATCTATCTTGAAATAAGACCTAGAGATGCCGAAATCAATGAGTTTTACAACAAGTTCATCTCCTCGCTTGCTTAGCATAAAGTTTTCAGGCTTCAAGTCTCGATGTCATATACGATTTTTATGGCAATAAATAATTGCGCTAACCATTTGTTGGAAGAAATGTGCTGCTTCTTTTTCAGTAAGTCACTCCTTCTCTGCAACGTACTCGAAGAGCTCACCTTGATCGCAGTACTCCTGGACTAGGTAAACTGCATTATCGTTTTCATAAACTTCAAATAATTTGATAATATTTGGGTGATCAAGTGTCTTCAAAGAAGTCAGCTCATTGATGAAATTCTTATACATGGTCTTTGCTTTATCAGCAAAGGGATCATTGCTGAGGTTGGTATCAGAATTAGTCTGCTTGCCTCCCTTTATATCATCAACATTAATCTGCTTTATCGCCCTGACCTCTCCGGTAGATTTCTCAGTACCTTTGTAGACAATTCCAAAGTTGCCTTGACCAAGTGGCACTGGATCAAAATCATAGTCCTCATAAACATCTTTATTTGTGGCTAATGAAATATTCTTTCTTCACTCTAAAGCTGTTCTTAAATTGATTGCTGCCATCATCATTGCCAGTATCTACAAGCTCGTATTCAGTAACATCACACTCTGCAACAATATCTCCATCTTCCACACAGATACGAGAGTGTATTTTAGAGTCGTCTATTGCTGTAGAATCCATTTTTTAGTACTATTTTGGAAATATATTTAATTCAATTTACATGAAATGGTTTGGGGTTTTGGGGTTTTGGGGTTTTGGGGTTTTGGGG